TATCCATCGCATACCATATGTTCTTCCAGTTGTTTTACAACTGTATCATGGTCAGGCCCAATATCATCCTCGAGGTCCATTTTTACTTCTGCTCGAACGAGCCAGTCCACAAGTCTCTGTAGGTGTTGCTTGATTAATATGATGTAAAGGTTATGTAGCCTAGAATAGAATTTGTGTTAATTCTGCTCTAACAACTCTTCTAATTTATGTCAGAGCTCACTGTCTCACCAAAAGAGACTTTTTGACCCGGCAAAAACTCGTTCAGCTACTAACAAAGTTCAAACGAAACACTGCAATTAGCTTACGAGCAAACCAACCAACACTGCTACTTAACTAACGAGTTAACCAGCCAACCATTCAACCTACGAACTAACCCACTTTCCATGCAAAGTAACAAGCCAACATACCAGTGAACTGTTTAACTGGCTACATTTGAAGCTTATCAATCCATTCAAACCGAMCAAGTACACAGAAGAGGAAACAGCTAACCTATAAACTACACTAAAAAACACCAACCAACTAAAACGTACACTTGGAAAACGAAATAACGACAGAACTAACTGGCCAACAATCTAACCAACGAATACATCAACCAACCAAYTACCAGACCAACCAAGCACTACCTTAACATTTCGTTATGCAGCCATTCCCGTAAGAATCGTATATTTTCTTCTAGCCTGCTCATGCGKCGTGTGTAGAATGCCAAATCTATAGTMTCCATRTCTTCTTCCTGGTATAAAATTCGCCCTTCGGTCAAAACTTCATAAACGTCTTGCTCCAGTTTATCTCTTTCACAAATTAATGCCTGTAAATACACATTGAAACTTACTAGATTTAATTAGATATAGACGATAAAACTAGATGCGCTTGTCCATGTAGGAGACTTGAATGRGCGCTTGATGAGCTCTAAGCTGATACTGAGAAATTATTGTACCCACCTTGACGTTGTCAAAACTCTTCTTGGCTCTCTGCAAGTCAACACTTTCACGTTCAGTAACCTTTGCTCGTTGTTCGAATTGTGTGACGGCTATCTCTTTATTTCTTAGCTTGGTGTCGTAGTCTCTACATTTCTTTGGCAGCGGCTTCCTGTGAAATGAAGCCATTATTTGTTCACGGCTTTGCAAGCACAATTTCAGACGTGATTCTGTTCAYGGTTGTGTGAGAAAGACTGAACCAAGTGATTGATTAGGGAAGCAAGGGTGGCCGAGCGGTGAGAGCGCCGACCTGTCACCGCTGTGGTCCCGGGTTCGATTCTGACTTGGGATCATATGTGGCTCGAGTTTGTTTCCGTTCTCTCCCATGCTTCGAGGGTTTTTTCTCCGAGTTCTCCGGTTTTTTCTCCCTCAGCAAAAATGGAACATTTCGATCCTAGCTGTGCTCTGTGATCAGTTATGGGTCGTTTGGTTGGCTGCTTGTGTGTATGTTGTAACTATGTGATTGTCCTCATAACGATAGCGCCCTTGTATACCGCATAACCGACTCGATCACGTGAGCTGCGTCCTTCGTAATTCAGCACTCGGGCTTCAAGGATGGGCGATTAGCTATCACCAGTTTATTTATTTATTTTATTTATTTATTTCAGTTTACGTCCTGAATCACGTGAATCTCATACCTGTCTTTTGCGCCATCAGGCCAGTCCAATAGGATTTTCATTCTTCTCTGTAAGTCGTCCATGCGATCAATGTACTCTTGTTCTTTATCRTCACTAAATCTTTCGTCTTCAAGCATACCATGACCAAGGCTCACAACGCAATAAACACCCTTCTCTATTTCATCTCTCTCATTGACGATATCCTAGTATTCGATCAGTGTGCATGAGGTTGTCTCTTGGCATAATGGTTTTACTAGATATAATGGTTAATCTTACCTTGATTGGACAGTTGTCCATATCTTCATGGTCMAGACGGTCTTCAAAATTCCACATATTATCTTCTACTTCGCGAAGTCGTCCTTCAAAGAACATGTCATGTATTCTTGGTTTTCCAAAAAAAGAGAAAARAAGAAAAAGAAAAAAGAAATAGTAAATCACTGGAAAAACCCGCGCGCTTTGAACCCTGTAAATATGATGTGAAATGTAATCGTATGAGGGAGTGGCTGATCCCATTAAAGAGTGCTCAATACACATAAAGTGTAGAGCTAGTTATATATATGATATCAAAGAGGCAAGATTTTGTTGTAACTCCGAGTTTCGTGCTACGCACTCATCAGACAGTATTTAATGTGAAATGTATGTAAATTATGCCGTAAATTTAATATACAGAATTATGGACAAATACAGGATATTTACATACTTTGTAAATATCCCGTAAATCGAATTKACGTCGTATTCCCATCATATTTACAGGTTTCACGGCGCGCGATTTTTTCCAGTGAATTCTGCAGCAGACATGTTACAATCACAAAGTATACTACCAACGTCATATTGAAAGAATGTTACAAAGAATTTCTAGTATGGAAAAAACAATACAAGTTTTCTACCCATGAATGTTTCCAAACGAACAACACATAAGGAGCTTCATGTTCTCCTCCAAATCATCCAGTCTTTCTTGATATTGRTCTTTGTTCTTTTTGTCYACRAGGCCRTCGGTTATCATTCCACGGCCAAGTCCTACTACTCCAAGKACCTTTGGCTCGCAGTAATCACGTTCTTCAGACAATTCCTGGAATTACAATAGAATATTTAGTATTTGCTTTGAAATGCTCCCTTTCTCTTTTTAACTGTGTGTTTTCAGCCTAGATGTACAGTCCAACATGACCATGTTGTTCTTCGTCCAATCAAGATCGGGTAGAAGATCACTTACTGATCAGATATGATAAGTGACTGAYTACTGACTTAGAATTGGCTAAATATTAACCGGTTTAACTGGTTTAGTCMGTTGACTTTTATRCGCTTTATGTYACCTTCAGTTCATCAGGGCCTAAGTCCTTTTCCATAGCGCGTTCTTGTAGGTAATGAACGGCTTTCTCTGCTTCCTGTAACGTTTCGCCAAAGAATTTTTCACGGTCATCCAGGTGTAGTAATTCCCTGTAGAAAAGTGAGTATGTTTCTCAATGTTATTTCTAAATCTTACTTTATCGGAGTTGTTTCATTAATCTTTATTTGTAGCTCTTTTCATTTCTGTTGCTGTTTGTTTGTATTGTTGATTACATGGTCAATTTTACARCCAAAAATCAATATGATCTCTAGTATTTACCCTGTTTTCTCTAGTACTGGAATTCCAATAAATCGGCTGYAATGGAGATAAAACAAAGAATAAATATTTTGCTTTATGATTTTGTCAATTCGTACATAGGTTTGCCCGTATAAAGACTAAATGCTCCATAATTTAGCACTGATTGCATGTTATGCATGTATACACAAGTTACAGCGACGCCATTTTGTGCCACAAATGGATTTTGTAGTCCTTGCACGTTTATTGTCTGCTAACACCGTCCTAGAACTTTTTKKTTTTTTTTCTTTGCAAAAATAGAAGCTGGTCTGACGTTTCTACAAAGAAAAATGAAAACGGCTTTTATGGATATTTTTTAGGGGCKATAAAAACTGCCAAGATTGCAACTTKTATGCTTTTCTGTACAAAATGGCGTCTCGCATCACGTTGGCCATTAACGAGATGTTTTTCCAACGCAAATAARATGAACCTTATGTATTCAAGTATTGGCCATCCCATCAATAGTTCCATTCTTCTTTCCAACTCTTTCATTCTCTTTTTCCATTCTGCAGCTTTGTCCTTGTCAATCGGTATATCATCAACAATCTCACGACCAAGACTAATGACATCCTGTACTTTCTGGTCCAAGTCATCTCTTTGCTTGATTAGAACCTAGAAATATGGTAAGAACAATTATAAAATATCGTATATAGCTACATGTACAGCTGTTTCTGCTTGATTAGAACCTAGAAATATGGTAAGARCAATKATAAAATATCGTATATAGCTACATGTACAGCTGTTTCTGCTTGATTAGAACCTAGAAAKATGGTAAGAKCAATGATAAAATATCGTATATAGCTACATGTACAGCTGTTTCAAAAATGTTGAGTGTTTTATGCTGTAATGCCATATCGTATTTCAAGACCGAAATGCATGACAGCCTTTGGATTCTGCGTTTCGCTGCCAAGAAGAGTCTCTCTAGTTGTTGCTCCCAACGACACTCTGCTAGCAAGGATATTCAAATCCACGTAAGTGGCCTTACAAAATAGCAATTTTAAACTAAAATGCTATCCAGAAGACAGGACTTGCATTTGCATTTAGAAACAGCTGAAAATCGATTTTAGAGCGGTGCATATTTGTTTAAAGTATTTTCAGTATTATTATATGACAATGAGTTAGCACGCTTTAGCGTTCCGTGTTCCTCTTGGAGATTAGAGGACAAATTCCTTTTATATTCAATTCATTTTAAGTCTCTCATTTTAACTATGTATATTACCTTGTTATCTTTGTTATGGATGGCAGTTTTCACTCGTGGTTCCAWYTCGTCGACTGCTGATTCTGCTTCTTTAAGTGTTTCTTCGAAATCTCTCCTGAAGTACAAACCTATAGTCAAAACTAGTAATGAAAGAKAATTTATACGCATTCTACTACAGTGTTCTCAATTCAGATTGTTCCAAATGCATTTCCAAAGAAATATTAATTGTTGCTTTCTAAACATGTAGTTTTCATATACTTGACTACCTCAAAGTCCTAGGATTATATGATAGTGCTTTTAGGGCCGTCACTCTCCCATCAAGGTTGTCCAATCTTCTTTTGTACGTTAATCTCTTTCTCTCATTTACAAGGTTACTATGAAGCATATCTCGACCGAGATTAATAACATCTTCAGCTTTAGACGTTACCTTGTCTCTTTCGTCAGACATTTCCTGCAAAAAAACACAGATTGGAATCAAATATTACTATTTTTTGAATCCTTTTTATTATTCCACTTTTTTCCAAATTTTATGTCTCGCAAAATACCTTCAAATCGTGATCAGTCAAATCGTTTTGTTCGCCAAGCGATTCAAATTCGTATAGCTCCTTCTCGACCTCTCGCAGCTTATCTTGCAAGTACTTATCGCCATCATCAGTGCTTCAGTAGAATAAATTGATATAGAGTGTTTGGTTAGTTGGTGGGCTCGTGGGTTGGTTGGTTGGTAGGTTGGTTGGTTGGTTGGTTGGTTGGATCGTGTGTGGATGGGTCTGTTGGTTGGTTGGTTGTTTGGTAGGTTAGTTGGTTCGTGGGTGGGTGGATCTGTTGGTTGGTTGGATACGTGGGCGAGTGGGTTTGTCGGTTGGTTTGTTGGTGGGTGGGTGGGTGTGTGGGTTGGTTGGTTGATAAAGTAGGCAATTTAGGGATAGCTATATATATAATTAAGTGTATAACTATTCTTCTATACCTAACTTTCTTCTCTAAAGGCCAGAACATCAGAATTTTCATTCTTCTTTCCAGGGTTTGGATCCGCTTGCTGTAYTCGTTCTGTTTCTCTTGGTCAAAAAACTTGTCTTCAATCATGCCACGCCCAAGATTGGYTACAGTGTACACCCTTATCTCGACCAATTCTCGACGTTTGATTAGTGCCTAAAGGTAAGATATCATTGATTACTATAACTGTTCRTAAAATAGAAAGAAGTGTGCACCCGGTGTGAAAAATAGAGATTTGTGCAATGTATGTTTCACCGAAACCTCCAAAGACTCAGAAAACCTTTCATATTAAGCATTTAATCCATCCGTTGATTGGTGTTCAGTTTTACCACGCGCTAGTACCGAGATATTTTGCCATTAAAAATAAGTTCATGATTAATCTCAAGAATGTGACTCTTGATCCAAATCTCCTTCCAAGAACTTGTCGATAATAGTTGATAATAGTTAATAATAGTGKTCTGTCCCTGATAAAGTAATGATATTAGATTTAATCTGTCTCTTACCTCGTCCTCACTGTCGTTGATCATTTCTCGTTCGAGATGTCTAACTGCGTCTTCGACTTCGCTCAGGGATTCTTCGTAGTACACGTTGTAATCCACGTCACTTGTTTATATAAAATATATGTACTTTACAATTTATTCTAAATACTTCTGTCTCTCTTTTATTTTCTTCTTTTTTCGCTCTTTTTTTCCTTCCTTTAGTAATGTACTCAAAGAAGAACAACCAAATGTAGTAAGATTTCAGGGGCGGCGGAGCGTTTTGGCCCTGGGGGGCTAGGAAGATTAATTATTATTGTGGTCAAGAAATCCTTTTTTATTCATCAAGCTTTCATTTTGCAGTAAATATAACTGTTAATGAATTACATTATAGGAAAATACAACGAGCTTCTACAGCCCCCCTCCCCAGCTTCCTCGGTTCCGCCGCCCATGGATTTCTACTTGCCTGTCTTTTAAAATGAGCGGCCATAGCTGTATTGTCGTCATTTTTGTCTCTACTTCTACAATACGACGTTCAAAGATGTCTTTATTTTCATCGTCAAAGAACTCATCTTCAATCATTCCTCTCCCAAGACTGGTAACGACATATACAGTCATTTCTGTGTCTTCACGCTCCTTCATTAAAGCCTGTATGAGAACGAATGCAAGGAGACATACATTTTTATTGACATGACTAAACTGCCTTTACTCCGACGAAGGATTAACGTCCGAAACGTCAGTATGTTGTTTCACCTATTTTTTACGGTGTTAAATTAATCTTTTTACACAACTGTTTCTTCAAAAACACTGACGCAGCTCACAATAGTTTAACGCTAGTTTCCACCATTATAACTAACTGTACATTATCTCCATTTTGTCCTTGTGATATTTGTGTACTTACTTGTTGTTCTGTAGTACTATTAATGGGTCGTTTTATTGTTTGCAGTAGTTCGTCTACTGTAGACTCCGTTTCAGCAAGCTTTATGTTGTAGTATGCACTGTAATCTTCATCGCTGTAGGTATAAACTCTATTAATATCATTGTCAGCCGTCAACGTCGTCATAACCATCATCATCACCATCATCATCATCATCATTGTCATCGTCATCATCATCATTATTATCATTATCATTATCATCATCATTGTCATGGTCATCATTATCATCATCATTATCATCATCATCATTATCATCATCATTATCATCATCATTATCATCATC